CCACAGGAACCCCAGCGGAAGCCACGCGGAGCAGCCACCAGCCCTGCCCCCATGGCCCTGCCCCCACTGTGCACGCCGCCATCTTGTGACGGCATTGCGGAGTGAGGGTCAATTTGCATATTACCTCTTTACTATATAGGATTATTTCAATGTGTTTGTATGTCACTGCATCTCACTACACTTCTAGAAAAGGTTATGGAACACCAAAAATTCCTTCATGAGAAGAAATTCAATTTGCATCCACAATACACATAATCCCTGCTCTTAACCACTGCATACTCTTCCACTTAGCACAATGACTTGGACACAGAGACTAATTAATGTCTATTCAAATTAAATGTCTGAATACATGAATGAATAAATAAATCAACCCTGACATCAATTACAATAGCATTTCACACATTACTTTAACATTTACCTTTCATTAGAATTATTTGTCTTAGTCCTAACTAGCTATTTACATGTCTTCAGATGGCCAAGTTTAGTGATCAAAAACATGAACTATGAAAAAAAATAAAACATGAACTATGGAACCAGACTCCTGAGATCCTAACTAGAAATCCCACATTTTAGTTGTGTGACATGATCAAGTTGTTTATCTGTACCTCAGTTTCCTTTACCTATAAAAGGGTAATAATAATTGTTCCTAGATTGTTATGAGGACTAAATGAATTCATAATTTTAATGCACTAAGATGTTTGGCACTATATATAGTATTTGCTTCTTTTTGTTTTTAAATTTGCAGTTTTGCATACTAACCTCAATGCAACAAATCCTCTACCCAACAAGAAAAACTAAATTCTAAAGTAAAATACATTAGAATGTATATAATGTATTTAAGTTACAAAATACTTTTGCATATATGATCTCATTAATTATCTTATAAAAATTTTTCTGGCAAATACTGACTTTTATCATATTCTGTCTAGAGAGGAAGAAAATGAAGCCCAGAGAGTATTTGTGGTAATGACCTGCCTATCTAGAAATAGAGTGAAATTCCAAGGCTGGTCTTCTGACTTTAGATACCAAATTCTTTCCTTCCCCTTCATTACAATGATACCAAAAAACATTAATTAACCTAATCAAACTAGAAATTAAAAACAAAAAGCTTTCAAATTAATTGAGTGAATTCCTTATGATGACACTGTTTAAGAACTAATTAATAAACTAGTACTTGGCTAGGACTTCCCTAGTTACTTCAGAAGATTTAGACAACTCCCTGACCTTGTAAACTGAATAGTACCATGTTAAAGCATGTTTCTGAAGATTCAAAAATAAAACAGCCTAGCTGGTGTTGCTCAGTGGTTGAGCATCAACCTATTAACCGGGAGGTCACAGTCGTGGGCTCTATCCCCAGTAGGGGGCATGCAGGTGGCAGCTGATCAATGATTCTCTCTCATCGATTTTTCTCTCTCTCTACTTTCCTCTCTGAAATCAATAAAAATATATTCAAAAAACAAAATTTATTTTAAAGCCCTTGTATCCAATATTGTTATTATACCCATAACGATATTATTATGCTTCACCCCAGAGTAACAAAGATGCTTTTCAGTGTACCTGGCTAGAGAAACACCGTTTTTTTCTACTCTTTTAACATGTTGGGTATAATTATTATTTGAGTGCCCATAAAGACATATAAATGGATCAACTTTATAAGGCAATATCCCCAGTATTTACTTAGTTTATTGAATCATCACACATATACATAAAATATCAAATAATGAGATTTCTGAGGTTTGCCATTTATCACTTTAACATAAGTATCACATCCCCCCCCCCACACACACACACCTTCCAGCTTCCAATAGGTTTCATTCCTCCCCTTTTAAATGGTCTACTAGTCCTAGCTAACCATCCCTAGTTGTAAATAGGATCAATGTGAACACATCAACAATGTAAACAAACTCAGTAGCTATTCAACGAGACAGTAATTATTCGCCTTTTGAAAAACACAAAGGTCAGCAAGTACATACCTGAAGGATTCTGAACAAATGCTCCAGGATTTTGTGGATGAACTGGTAAAAATTGTTGTCCCTGGCCAAATGGTACTGGTTGAGCAACACCAGTCAGAACCTTTAAGAGAAACATTGGTTTTAAGAACATCTGTTCCATATTTTAAGTAAAACTTTAACATACTTACCACATAAAAATATTCACATACATCTTAAGGCCTGGTTTCTACGATAAATATTTACAAGTGAAACCTGACTGGGTCACTTCACTTATAGGCTTTCTACAAAAAAAAAGGAACAATAATACCTTCCCAAATCTGTTTCATAGAATCATAAAGAACTGAGAATGGATGTGAAGCTTCTTTGAAAAGTTGAAGATACCATGAAAGTATCAGTAACAACTAGCTGTGTGACCTTACACAAGTCACTTTACTTGCTCGTGCTTTCTCTTATTTTACAAATAGAAGAACTGACATCCAGAGATGTGACCTATACATAGTCATAATGGCTAGAGTTAGCAGCAAAAATGAGACCAGAACTCCTGAACATCAGGTGTCAAAAGCCAGTTTTAATTAGCAATCTGAACTCTTTTGTGATCATCTTGCTTGGCCATAATACTTTGGGTTACAAAGTAGATTGTAAAAGACATCAAGAGAATGTTAAAAAAAATGAAATAAGTATTGTGCAGGCATACAAATACTGTATTTGTAGTTCAGAATGAGGTAGGACTTCAACATGTTTCCGCTATGTAAATAATTATCCATTCATAAGCCTTATTCAGTATCCATGTTAACTTTCAGTGATATGTATATACAAAAAAACCCAATTTAGTATAATGTACCAAGCAAGACTTAGTCAAGTCCCACTCCTAAATATGTCAATATCATTTCTTTTAAGAACACACAATAGAGTAAATCTATGCAGAACAATTTTTTTTTCAAATTATTGGATATCAACAGAAGTTTGCTTTCTATCAATAATGCTTATAATGTGCCCTAGCCAGTTTGGCTCAGTGGATAGAGCGTCAGCCTGCAGACTGAAGGGTCCCAGGTTCCATTCCGGTCAAGGGCACATGCCGGGGTTGCAGGTTCAATCCCCAGTAGGGGGCGTGCAGGAGGCAGCCGATCAATGATTCTCTCTCATCATTGATGTTTCTCTCTCTCTCTCCCTCTTTTCCTTCCTCTCTGAAACCAATAAAAATATATTTAAGCCCTAGCCGGTTTGGCTCAGGGGACTGAAGGGTCCCAGGTTTGATTCCGGTCATGGGCACATGCCTGGGTTGCAGGCTTGATCCCCAGTAGGGAGCATGCATGAGGCAGCCAATCAATGATTCTCTCTCATCATTGATGTTTCTATCTCTCTCTACCTCCCCCTTCCTCTCTGAAATCAATAAAAATATTTTAAAAAATAGTAATGCTTATAATGTGTTTAAAAATCTTTTAGTTTTACATTTTCTTCCATGCAATGTTACTAGTATAACATGATTTTGTCATAGTAAGAAAGTGTTAGCAAGTGCAAAAGAATACCAACAAGTGACTGTACATATTTAGGTGATAAAATGAATACATTTGGGCGGGAAGTCACAGGTTTGCTGTGTTGATACTAATATCAAATATTTCTATTTGACTGGAATGACTGGGAAGGTGCTGCAAAGTAGGAAGAGAGGAAGAAAAATATTCCTCCAGGCTGTAAAAGCATGGACAACTTGATTTTCTTACTTAACTCAGACTAAGGAAGTTCTTAAAGAGCAATCTAAAAAACAAGATTTAGCCCGGCCGGTGTGGTTCAGTGGTTGAGTGTCAAACCTATGAACCAGGAGGTCACAGTTCAACTCCTGGTCACAGCATATGCCCAGGTTGCAGGCTCAATCCCAATCCCCAGTGTGGGGTGTGCAGGAGGCAGCCAATCAATGATTCTCTCTCATCATTGATGTTTCTCCCTCTCTAGCTCTCTCCCTTCCTCTCTGAAATCAATAAAATTTTTTAAAAAAGACAAGATCTATGGTTACTTTAAAGCTTATCAAGGCTCACAGTTCTATAATGTAGCAGAGATCTATAAATTACCCTCACAATTATATAATACTTTACTAGCTTTGTAGCCTAAAGCAAACAAACAAAAACATAATGGGGAAGCTATCCAGGTGTGAAGGCAAGAAGTATAAAGGAAATATCTATACTACACAGCATGATTTTGCTGTAAAACTACAACTACTCTAAAACGTCCATTAAAAAAAAAAAGTGTAGCCCTAGCCAGTTTGGCTCTGTGGATAGAGCATCGGCCTGCGAACTGAAAGGTCCCAGGTTGATTACGGTCAAAGATCCCAGGTTGTGGGCTCGATCCCCAGTGGGGGACTTGCAGGAGGCAGCAATCAATAATTCTCTCTCATCATGGATATTTCTAACTCTCCCTCTTCCTTCCTCTCTGAAATCAATAAAAACATATTAAAAAATAAAAAGTGTGAATGTGTGTGCACGTGTGTGTGTGTGTGTGTGTGTGTGTGTGAGAGAGAGAGAGAGAGAGAGAGAGAGACAGAGAGAAGTAGGTTTCTCTAGCTAGAGAGAGAGAGAGCGAGATTGAGAGAGAGAGAGAGAGAGAGAGAGAGAGAGAGAGAGAAGTAGGTTTCTCTAGCTACTGGAATAGCTAAAGTCAATTTTTGAATGAAATTGCAAATTTTAGACCTAAGACTCTCTTCCCACTTCCCTAGCATGTGGGGTTTTGAAGTACATTAAAAACTTGCCAGTCTATGAACTTGTCTCCTGAAGACCTTCCTCAAACCCTAAAAACATTAAAAATGATTCATATCTCCACACAACCTAATTTTAAAATAAATACAAGACTTACCTGTTGAGATGCCTGAATGTTTCCTACTGTTATTGGAGCAGGTAAATTGCCAAAGTTTCCAAATTGAGAACTTTGAAGATTCTTTTCATCAAAATAGTGTCCAGAAGCTCTGCTAAGGGGATTTGAGAAACTCTGGTTCCCAGGGCCATGTGGTCCATTAAAATTTGGTCCTTGAGGTGAATCAAATATTTGTTCGTGTCTTTGGAATTGCAGTCCTTGGGATGGGGCATTAAAAGCATTGCCAGGCGGCTCATTATATGGACCAGTCTGACTGAAAGAAACAGATTCAAGCCTTTGTGAAGGATGATTGTCAAATCGTGCGCCTTGAAGACCAAGGGGAATATCAAACCTTGATGCTTGCTGGTGTTGTGGACCATCAAATCTTTGAGGAACACCATCAAATCTTGGTTGAACCTGCTGTCCAGGTGGTCCATCAAATCTCTGTGGGCCTGGCTGACCAGTTCTTTCAAATCTAGGACCTGGTTGACCATGTAATCCATCAAATCTTGGTAAGAGTGATGGCTGACCTGGCTGCCCATCAAACCTGAAAGCGTGACAACCTTCCAATCTTGGACCACCTTGACCCAGAGGCCCTTCAATTCTCAGTCCACTTCCTGGTACAGGACCCTCAAACCTCATTCCACCTCCTTGTTGGACTAAGGGTCCCTCAAACCTGATCCCAACCCCTGGTTGACCATGTGGACCCTCAAACCTAAGGTTTCCACCAAGTTGATTATGTTGTCCTTCAAACCTCAGACCAGCTACTGACTGACCATGGGGGCCCTCAAACCTCATTCCAACTCCCTGCTGTAGCAAAGGGCCCTCAAATCTGATCTCACCTGCTGGCTGACCATGAGGTCCATCAAACCTCATTGCAGCTCCTGATGGACCATGACCCCCCCTCAAATCTATGTCCACTTACAGGCTGACCTCGGGGATTATCAAATCTAAGTCCACCCACAGGCTGACCATGAGGTCCCTCAAACCTCAGACCTCCCACAGGTTGACCCCGATGTCCCTCAAACCTGAGCCCACCCACAGGCTGGCCCCCTGGTCCTTCAAATCGTAGACCACCTGCAGATCCCTCAAACCTCAGACCAGGGGAACCTTCAAACCGAAAACCACCTCCGCCTGCTTGACCAATTGGCCCTTCAAACCGCAAAGGTGTCCCTACTGGTCCTGGAGGACCTTCAAATCTCAAAGGACGCCTGCCTCCTAGCTGACCTTGTGGTCCTTCAAATCTCAAAGGATCACCTCCCCCAATTTGTCCAGGTGACCCATCAAATCGAAGAGAACCTGGTGCAGGAGGTCCATCAATTCTAGGGCTTAATTTATTAGGTCCTTCAAAAATCATCTTGGTTGGGCCATCTCTTGTTACTGATGGCCTACTAGGTCCATCAAATAATGGTCTGTCTTCAGCTAACGCTGTAAGTCGCTGATTTGTATCGAGGCCGGCGAATCGTGATGCTGGGCTATCTACAAATGGTTTATCGGCATCTTCATATCTAGGTCGCTTAAGTGGAAAACGATCATTGAATGGTGACCTCTGCTCTTCTCGCACACCTTTTAAAAAGAAAATAAATTATTTTCCTTGAATCTGAATTTATATAAAATTATCTTCAAATCTTTCTACATTCATGTAAATGCTTATCCAAAAATATCCATAACTATCTCACTTCATTACAGGGGAGGGAAAAGACAACATCAAAACAGCCGGTAAAATGATGCCCTCTAAAGTCAGACACACCTGGATTTTAAAAATCCCCATTCTGTCAACTTACTAATTATTTTTTTAAAGCAAGTTAAACTTCTCTGGTCTTATTTCCTATCTGTAAAATGGGGATAATATATATTTCACTGGGTTGTTGTGAGGGTTAAATCGGATTACATATATAAAGAACCTAGTAAAATACCTAACATATAGTTGGTTTTATAAGTATTAACTCTCTTCCCTTCCCTCTGAGGGAAAAACAAGTTGAAACAAAAAAAGGTAGTCTGAACAGTCACAAAAAATCCATCCCCACTTAGCTGTTCATTTTCCCTTCACTGCTGTGTGATTCAATAGGCATAATCTGATTTAACTTTCTACCTTTAGCAGAGACTTGCTCGTCATGTCTTCTCCGGCCCTCATGGGGTGAAAGATTCTCAGCATAAGAACGACTCCCAGATATAGGAGAAAGACGTCTTGCTCTTTCACTAAATTGTTCTTTTCTGTCAAACTGTGCTCCACTATTCCTACTTGCATGTTTACTTTTGGATGGCTCACATTCTATTCCAGACAACAAGGCATCAGTCAAAGGGTAGTCAAAAATATCAGGATCTAAGAGATCAAGTCTTGGAAATGAATGCTGAACCTGTGTCCTTTTCAGTTTTGCTTTATGTTCATAGTAGGTTAATTCAGCATCAGATAAGAGAGGTTTCTTTTTTAATCCACCTTTATTTTCTTCTGAAGGACTATCGCATACATTGCATCTATGTTTACCTTCTTGATACTGAAATAGCTGTCGAATTTGATGCACAACAACAAGGAACTCATCCTGTGTAATTTCACCAGATGCTAAACGTTCACTCGTCTGCATGGGATGATAAAAAGAAATCAAGTATTTTAAATATAAAAAGTACTTACAAAATATTTAGACAAAAACAATATTGAATACATGGGATCATAGTAACTACCTTTTGAAGTAATTCTCTTTTGCTTGCAAGAGTTAACTCTTTAGGAATCTGAAGATTGGCATCTACACTTAATCGATGCTGTTGCTTTGGGGCTCGAGGTGACAAAATTCCTTTAGTGCTTGACCAGCTTTCCCTATGCCTTAGATGAGGAGATTTACTATGGTCGTCACCTTGTTGTAAGCTGAAACCATAAAAGCAGTTATGTTACTTCATAAAATTTAAATACTCAGGACCATATTTAAGAATCCTTTTCAAAGAATCTAGTTAAAATGATTATATGTAATCATAAAAGTTAATTAAGAGCACAAGATCTTAAGTCAGGAAAATCAGATAAATTCTAATTCTTTCATGTCCTGGGTATGCAGCCTTACATAGATTAACCTTTCTAAACTTCACTTTCCTAATCTGTAAAATAGGAGTAATAATGATATTTAACCCATGATGTCATAAGAAGTGAAAAAATAAAGCAACAATTACAGCACCCTATGAACATTATCCAATTTTTAAGTTAACACTGTATTTTAAAATGCACATATTATTTCACTTGATTTAAAATGTGAACATCCTACCTTTTATTTTCTTCCCAACCAGATTTCCATCTTTTGTTAGACTTGGAACTTGACCAATTTTCTACATTCTCCTTCGGTTCAGTGCCTGACTTTGTAGAATGCTGACTTGTAGTTTCTTGCGGTTGTTCCTCTTCAGTCTTCTTTATTCGCCTTGGATCTCGAACATCCTGTTTAGTACTTCTCTTAGCATTTCTTTCTTCCCTGGAAGGTGGCATAAAGTCTTCCATATGTGACTGCTTACATCCAGAGTGGCGAATCTTTCCAGCTTTGGCTGTCGAGGTTGGAGACATACTCCTTTGCCTTCGTTTGGGTGACCGCCTATCTCTTCTCTTAGGAGAATGTATAATTGGTGACCGAGACTTGGGTGATCTCGATCTTGATCGCTTTCTAGTACTTGATCTCCCTGGTTTTGTTCCCTGTTTTTCTGAGTCTTCCGTTATTACATCTTGTTTTTGTACAATGCCATTAACGATTTTATTTCGACTTCCAACCAGTCTATGTTCAGATGATTTCATATGCTCATCTTTATCTTTTTTTTCTGAAGTTTTTCTCTTCTCTTTTATATCATCATCTTTGCTATCAGTCTTATCTTGAAGATGTTTTTTTAATCTTGGATCTCTCTTACTCATGTCAGACACCCTTGGGCATTCAGATTCTTGATTTTTCAAGTCTTTTGTGTGAGAGAATTTGTTTTTCAAAGGTGATGGTGATTTAGATTTAGATTTAGAATCTAACTGGTCAAGTTCCTTCTTGGTTATTTTTTCACCTGATTTACTTTTTTCTTGTTTGGATGAATGTAGTTTTTCAGAAGGTATAGTTTTACTTGTCTTAATATCAGATTGGTTTAATGTATTCATTAGGAATTCTTTTCTGTGACTCTGATCTTTTCCATGAGAAGAATGCTGACTCATCCTATTAAGACGGGGATCCCGGTTTGTTCCTTTCAAGTCCTGAATTTGTAAGGATGGACCTGCACGGCTTTTTTCAGGTTGCAAAGGAATCTGATGGGGAGTTTTAACTGCCATAGGGGGAATTTGTGAAACATGTAATTTGGATGGTGCAGATCCAGGACCTAAGTTGGATGTCTCCTGCTGAACACTAAGAGAAACTGCCTGAAATACAAAGTAAATGTTCATGTTAATACTGTAAAACATGCAGATTATCTATCAAGAAATTGAAATCTAGAATATGCTTTATTCAATAAATCCATTTATTTAATACTGTTTTCACACTGAATACTTCTAATGTTTAAGTGGAGATTAAAGTGAAAAGAAAGTTCATCTACCTATGTGGCCTGTCATTTCTTACTAGTCCTTTACTTTGGGATTTTATAATATAATCTCTAGGTAGATTGAAAAAGTGGCACTAATAATAAATGTACAAAACTCCCTTCGTGAACTTCCCACTCTCAAACTTAAGTGCCAAGTAAAATAACTTTGTATAAGGTCATTCCTGCATATGAACATGTAATCTTCCTAGTCGTTAATTTTGTGGTGGCTTTTCTCTTGTTTCCTTCTAGGAACCTGACTTCTGCTCATGAAGCACAAGCTCATAAAAGATTCAAGACTGCAAAAACATTTGCCACAACACACCGACCATACTGGGACTGATACTAAATCTACATGATTTAATTGTTAACAAAACTAAGGTGTTATCTACAAAGATAGCAATCCTATAATAGAAAAGTACTTGAGAAGAAAATAGTGTACAGTTTATATTCGAGTTTTACAATAAGGATATAAAAATTTGCTCTAATGCACCATAATTTGTGAAATAAAAGTGGGAAAATACACTATTAATAAAAGTAACGTTAAGAGAATTCAAACACAAAATAATTACTTCTCTATCAGAAGACATGATTGAAATATTTAAAAATGTAGATTTCCTGTACTTACCAGTTGTGCTTTAGCTTGCTCTAGTTCAAGCTCCAGCTTTTTCTGCTGAAGTTCTAATAACTGTTTTTGTTTTGCAAGTAACTGCTGCCTTATTAGTTGTTCTTGGGTAAGATTCTTTTGTATATCAGGAACAATTGGAGGAGTGGAGATGCTAGGGGAAGTGACCACTGTGCCAGGTGTTGAAGGCTCTTCAGGCTATGAGAGAAAATTATTTGTTAAAAAACTATGTATCACAGCTAAATAGGAAGTTAAGAGGGAACTGAAAATTATGAGTTTACCCCTTAATAAATACCATCCATTTTTTTAAATGGCCAATCATGTTTAAAAACACACAGAAAATTTTTCAGGAATTTAAATTCCAAAGTAGTATAATATGTTATACCTAAACAAGAACATATTTTTAAATGTACTGTCAACCTGAAGAGAAAAAAACAAATTTAAACTGTTTCAAACACAGGATATTTTTGATATTTCTTTCTAGCAAATTTTAGAAAAGTCAAAATTTGACAGTTGAAAATATTAGTTATACACCATTCATGTAAAACTTACCGATTTATTTAAAAATTTAGGATTCACATGGATGCTAGATGTATTCCCATTGGGGGGTAGAGGTCGAATAGGCCAAGCAGGATCTAATGAATTGACTCTGACATCCAGGGCATAAAGTTTCTTCAATGGGAATATCTCATCCCATGTGGAACGTAACTTAAATAAACTTTTTCTAGTATTTTCATCCACCTAGAACAACAGAACAATTCTATGGCTTGTTAAGTCACTATAGAATGTTTTAAATATTAAGTATAAAGCTAGATCAGTCTCTTCTCTACTTTACATAGAGCACTCATACTGCTCATTCATAAATATATGTACAACAGTAAGTATTCGATATAGTTTACAAATGTTAAAGAAATTTCTCCCTGAAAAAAAAATTAGAAAAATTAAAGTTGTCATCACCTAGCCTTCATGAAAGCAAACCACTAGACAAGACTTTCTACTTTTAAAAGTACAATTATACAGGAAGTTTGGCTATGAGATTACTGAGACAAAGAACTACTATATGCAGACAGAGCCCACAGATGCTCATGTGATGTGCTTCAGAAAAACCTCAAAGTCCCTTATGGCCAGAATGCAGATGTGGAAGACTTATAAATGGACTTTCTTTCACTTGCTTGTAGCAAATTAAAGAGGCCCATTGAAAAAAAAAGTGCAAAATGTTTTCAAATTTTAGGTCTTAAAATAGCATTCCTAATGTTATTCTTACTCTGGACAAAACATAAGACCATAAAACTAGGGAACAGTTTACCTGATGGCTTAAATTTCTTAAATTATTTACATGGTAGTACAAAGTTAAAATTAAGACAAACCTATCTCACTAACCCATCTTCTGCAATACAATACGGTTGATACCTCAGAACAAACTATTTGTGGTGTGGAAGGCACCTTAATAAAATTCAAAATCTTACCCACTGATGAGCTTAGTTTTATAACTTAACTGCTCATGCTTATGATGGGCATAACTATTTTTTAAATTGGCCATCAGAGAAACCTAAGGTATTTAACTTCAGGATAATAAAGCCTTGACTACATTCAAGTCTTCAGATAATAATTATACTACAAGGTCATTTTCATCAACTGTAAGGTCTTAAGGCCTAGTTAGATTCAGTAAAGATATTCTATCAAACACCCAAATGAATTTGAACATATTGAAACTGAAGCCAAGTTGGTTTAGCTCCCCAACTTCTATAATGCAGAGTTAACTTCTCCTTAAGGCCATAGGCTCAGGTAAGCAGTATTTAGAAAAGGTCTACAATACACTATTAACAAGCTCCTTAACACAATCTGAAATATAGCTTTCCAAATTTCTTCTGCATGTACTTACTTAGCAGTGTTTACTTTCTCTAGGAATTTAAAGGGGAAAAAATTGCTCAAGTAGCAACTACTTTTTCTGTTCTAACAAGCAAGTAAAAGTATCTGATAATGAATAGTTCTTTCAAAATAATCCCAATTCTCCTAGTCTGACAACTCTTAAGTTTCCTCCAAACACAAGTACTTCTAAATATAAGAACTACCAATTTCTTGTTAGGAAACAATCTCTAAACCTAATTATCTTATAAATGCCCTTTTACTAAATTTGAAAGATAAAGCCTAACAGGAAGATAATTACTTCAGCAAATCCCTTGGCCTCCTCAACATAATAACTGTATTTACCAAACTACCAGATACAATGTTATTGAAGGAATGTACAATCTCTAGGTCTAGAACAAACCTTTCTTCTAAACACTAAGAGGTTAAAAAGTATTTCCAATATAACCTAAGGCAATTAACTGGTCCACCATTCACACACACCTAGAACATTCATATAAAACATATTTGAATGGATAACAAGAGGAAACAACAAAAAAAAATCACAAAAGTTTCAGAAATCAATGGTAGGTTAAGACACACTGGTAGATTACACTTTTTTTCTTTCCAGATAGGAATAGCCAACAACCTAACAGCAGAAATGTAAACAATGAAATTTGAAATGCTCTTGATAGCTTCAGATCTTTTTGCCCATCTAAAATCAAAGTCATCTAGGGGAGAAAATAGAGAACATCTGTAATACCCTTACCAAAAATAAATTTAAATATAAAAATAAAAGCAAAGTCATCTAATCTTGAATGGGTATTATAAAACTCCTAGAATGAGTTAAAAATCTAACATAAAACGCTAACTTTAACATGGTACTTGGTAAATGTCCAAGAGAAAAAACATTTCACCACCCAAGAAAACCCAACACAAAGGCAAGTATTTATTTAATCAGGAACACATTTTTTTTTAAATTCAAATGTTTCTAAATGCATATATACCTTTTCAAACACACAAATAAATGTTGCAACTAGATTTTTAGTAAAGGCAGTGAGATACTCTCGTCCAACGTTTTTCACGATAGAATCCATAAGGTACATAACAGGAAGCTTCTCTGAGGAAGGAGCCTGAATAAAAAGAAACTGATAAGTTTAGTATAATGAATTGCCACCAAAAAATACTTTTAAAAGTGAATTTTTAAACATACAATACAGACCTCTATTTTTGTTGATAATTTAAAATTAACGTTTATGAAACATTTGTGGTCAATCAAGTACTGATTTCTTACAGTGATCTTTAGCTGAGCATAAAAAATAAGCTCAAAATCACCATTAAGAAAACCTTAATCTCTAGTATATTCATTTAACACTCAATAGAATTTCAGGTTCATATGATAAAGACCTGTTTTAAGTGACCAAAAAGTAGGAGGGAGATATTTTCTGCAATCCAAGTATAAGCTTTGTGACCCACATTAATAATGGTGTACCTAGACTCAATGAAGTTTTTAGACTTCTGGCAGAAACCCTAATTTCCATAAGCATATTTTATATGTTAAAGTCTATGAAGCTTTTGTAACCTGTAAAATCATTAGGATTATTTCTCTATAATCCAATGTACAAAGAAATCAAGTATACTTCACATATGAAGTTAATGGCAAAAAAAAACCACTTTTAAACTTGCAGGAAGGTGCAAGTTGTTACTGATACAAGAAAAACTGGATGGAGCGGCCGCTGAGTCATGTAAATCAGGTTGAACTTGACTCTGGAAACCAGGATTTGTCCTGAAGATTTTCTTCACAGCATGGACTCTCCGTCGAAATTATTTTTCCTCTGACATGCACAAACCAGAGGTTCTAAATTTGTGCAGAGCCAGTGTGGTGATGCGGATACAGGTGGCCCTTTCCAAAGCAAACAAATGTTGCCCCAGTTCAACTGGAATGTCTACCCATCACTGGCTTTAGAAGGCACAGCAAGTTTCCAGAAAGCATCAGCAGGTTCACAGACTTGCTGAGGAGCATTAAGACACACCATATAAACTAAGTGTTAAATCCGACTCCACAGGAGCAACCATGATTTAAAAAAAAAAAAAAAATTATCCCCATTTACCCATCCCACGTGTATAGGAATCTTAACCCTGAACAACACTTACCCATAGCTACCTGAAGCTAGGGTAGGCTCACAGTTCTGCAGTACACAATTCCATCATATTTCACAAAACCAATTGCCCATAGAAGTGTGTAGAAGTGCTCTTGCTTCTGATAACCTTTACTACAACCAAAGTTGACTAAGGAAACCTTTGAATAACCTTGTATGAAACATTTCTTTTCTGGTACTTCTAATAAAAGGGTTCACAAGCCCACTGCATGTGGGTAAATTAAGAATCAACATGTCAAATGCTTTATTGCTGTGTATCTTACCATGTCATGTTTTACACCATTTTAGTCATTGTGATCCTTATGAAAATAACAGGCTCTCTATAAAACCAAAATCTGTTCAGTAGGCTAATTTTTTATTGTACACTGAATCCTGTATGTAATATTTTTTCACTACTGTCTCATGGGAGGAGTCAAATTAAGTGTGAATCCTTAAGTTTAGCAATGCTGAGATGCTAGAGAATAAGGACACAAACATCCACCTCCAGAAACACAAAACCAAGCCAGTTTGCTACCAAAGGACAGAAAATCCCTCCCCTCACCCTCAACCCCAACCGATTAAGGTATTTCCCCAAAGTGACTTTTACATCTTTTCCTCAATCTGGCTTTACAAAAATAATCAGGAAACGTGTGCCAAAAAAATTTTTAGCTGTCTTTTATCAGCAAATAGTCCATCCATTTTCACCACTCTGTGTAGCCATACACAAATACAAGTTTTAATGTGACCACTATATTCAGCATTTACTTTTCACTTCTCGAAGATCTTCAGGATCCATAAAACCCAGCAAAGAAACTTGAGTGACAACCTGAGCTACTAAATAATAGGTTCTGTGGAATATTAGTAATCCCCCCAAATACTAGGTATTTAGATTTTAAAAATCAATGTTATTTTTTAAAAATGCAAGTGGTTTCATTTGTTAAAAAAGGCATTCAATGTCAAGTTAAGCCTTCAACAAGGCAAAAATTAAGTTTTCATGTCCAACATGTTTGTGGTAGCAATAAAAAGGATGTTGAGTATGAGGAATGCTTCCTTTTTAAATCTCATACTTTAAAAAAAGAACAATAGCTGTTTGACACCAACATTCACAGGAAAAAGAGAATGAAGGCTTGTATTTTAGCTGCCAGACTGAGCATGAAAAACTTGTCGGGCCCTTAAAAAAAAAACAAAAACAAAAAAAAAAACCCGCACACACAAAAAGAAACCTTACTTTTTATCCTCTTTAAATTAAGGTATGAAAGGACCACCTGAAACCGTGTATCTTGTGAATGGATTTACCCAAGAGTGGATGGAACCTAAAGAATGAACCCAAGTCACTTAAAGACTTTTGTTTAAAACACACAACCACGTAGATAAATAAAAATAAGTCTTGGAAGCAGATTCTACACCTTACAAAGGTAAATAAAAAAGACAAATACATATTTTATATGTTTTATTCACAAATTTTATAATACCAAGCACACATTTCAAAACCATTTATTAGTCAGACCACTCAGTTTTACACTAGACAGAAACCGCCTCTAAACAATATATTTGGTGGTTGTTGTTAAAGTGGCCTTTTAAAAGGGGTTCACTCTGCTAAAAGGAGGCTCATCCTGATCATTTCAATCACTAACAACTAGAAAAAAACTAAACCATAAGTACAAGCTTGAAAAAGAACTTAAAACGTAGTGCTGGGAAACTATTAGAACTCATTATGATAACCAAGTTGAACAGTAACTTTAAGTGACATATCACTCCCACATGAATGCACAGAACAGGAGGACTACAGGGAAATACAGGGTGGCAGAGGACCACGTCTGTCAAGGGGTGAAGAAAAAGCACGTCTCCACTATCAGGGAAGGGAGGAAAAAAGAGAGAAGGAAGAGGAGGGACTGAACTTTTCAAAAAAAACTGCAAGTACTTGTTACCCAATGGGCCAGTTCTCCACCTACAGGTTGGATAAAACCTCCCCCCCCCCCATCCCCCACCCTCAACCCCGAGTTCCCATTTGGGGGGACGAATAAAGCCCTCCGAGAGGAGAATGGAAGTTCTACCTAGCCGCCCCCACCCCAAAACGGGGCTGACGGGTGTGAGCAGCTGCCTGGCTGGCAGGGAATGGATTCTTCTCTCTTCCCTTTTGCATCATGTGCTTTGCAGGCGCCATGTTGGGCTCCTAACAAGCGGCTGCTCCACTCGGGGCCAGTGCCCTATGCCCACCCCCCGACAGCTCGCTCCCAGGTCCCCCTTCACCTCCTTCCAACCCACACAGCACAGATCACCCAAAAGGGTTCTGGGAGGGGGAAGCGGGGGGCGGGGGGGAGAACCACTCCCCACCTTCCCAGGGGCTTAAGATCCTTTTAACTCTCAACTTCCCCGCACCACCAACTGCCTTCAAGTCCCCACACCCCCTCCCCAAAGGGCTCTATTCGAAGCGTGGGTCGGGCTCTACAACGCGGTGGCCTAGATAGGGAGCTGGTAAGCGGAAGTGGGACTCCACCCTTCACCCGCCCCACTCCCTCCCCGCAAGGGAGGCCCACGCTCGAAGCCTGGGCCCAAGACCGAGCCAGAGTTGGAGGGGGGGAGGGTTGGAGAGGAACGCTGTCCCCCTTTGGATGGAAGCGAGACCTGGGATGAGGCTGACACTAAAATCAGGGAGTATTAGAAGAATAGGAGGCTGCGGGGTGTATAAAAACCTTGGCGGTTTGGGCCTCGATGAGAGAGACGATCTCCTTGGCGAAGGGCAGGTTCTCCTCGGCTAGAATGGTCAGCATATTGATGTGCGGTTTGCTATTGAAGGTCAGGTCTTCGAGGGATGACTGATAATCCCGACAGGCGTCCTCCCGGGCCCCCGCGGTACCGGCCTCGGCCGGCGTCGGCTCTGACATTGCGCCGCGGC